ACAGAGGATGTGAAATTAGAATTGATGTACTGTCAAAGAAATGCAGCTACTACAAGTGCCCTTCCAGAGGAGCTTCTAGGGCAAAGCAAAGCATGTACATCTAATCAGGACATGCATTCTTCTTTTTCAAAGGCATTTAGAGGAATAAAGCTTAAGATCTGATACTAAGCTGTTGTGCTGCACTTTCCTTCATTTTATAATGACAGTTTGGCTTACAGGAATTGTGCGTGTGCCAAATACACTCCCGGGTACAGTGCTCAGAGGCAATATTGGCTTTCAGTCAGCAATTTTCGAGCTTTGCCCTTTTTGTTGTTGTCAGGACGCTGCGGCACTGGAGGCTTTCCACAGCAGCAAAAGATGATCTTAACAGCTACTTATAGTCTGGGAACGGAAAACTGCAATATCTGCTAAGTGGGTTACATTTTGAAAGGGAATACCGTGGACATCTTCAAACCAATTCTGCCTGAGATACTTGTTACATCTGTTCTAGAAATAAAGGTAGATCCAATGTGTTTATAACCATTTCAGCAGAAGTTACCGGAGGTGCTTTATAATATATAGGGTGCACTTCTTCCAATTATGAGTTATTTGAATTGTAACTCTCTTTCACAAGTAAATGCACTAGCAAAGCACCTGAAACTTCAACCTGTATTTCTCTAAGATCTACCTGTAACCAAAAGTCAAAGTTCATTTTTTTTTTTGGACTTGAGAAAGCCTGGAAGCTGAATGCCACCTGCTCTACATATGGAAAACAAAGCTCCAAACAAGACAAGACTGCAGCACAAGATGCGCAAGTTCAGGACATGAAGCTTGGCACACAGCATTTTTGGTGATGATTAATGCTAGGTTTGTTTAAAAACAGAAACAAAATGAGACTTAAAGAATTCCTGCTTATGAACTGACAAAGAAGATGACCAATAAAAAATTTATATCAGTAACACAAAGAGATTCAGCAAGCAAATGTACTCAGCTGGCAATGTACATATGAACTATAGAAGTAGTAATATAAAATAACATGTAAGTCCTTCTTTCGCTAACAAGGAGGTCATAAACTGGACATATTTTTTGCTAGATTAGCCAGCAGCAATCTAATACAGAATCTCCAAGTTTCCTTTTCCCATTTTTCCTACAAAAAGAATTTATAAAATTAATAACAACTGTTGACTTTAACACTAAGTTTAGGAGTTGGGGTTGTGGAAGCAGTGCTCACTTGTCTGTGTTGCACATCCAGCTTCAGATATTTCATTTTCTGGTTCATTGTAATAGCCTTTTTCAAGCAATTTATAACAGGGAAAACAACAGATGTTAATAGCTGCACACCCTGGATAGGGTTATGTCATTTCTTCCTCTTTTAATGTACTAGCTGTTGAATATTTTGTCTGGCAAGATTGTTTCAGGTTTATCCTGAGAACAAAGTGAATTACAGAGCAGCAATCCCATCAAGGCTCATTACAGCGAAACTCCTATATGTGTGTAGCTACCCTAGGCTTCAGTCAGTGTTTCCTCCTTATATAGAGAACACAAAGATTTCATGCCCTGAAGAAAATGTCATCCCAGCAACCTCTCAAATAGAAGTCATCACATGGTGCTTCTCTGATGTTTCTCCTCTGCACTCTAGAAAGACTTCTCGCTTTTCTTCCAGCCACTGCAGGTGACAAATTATTCCCATGTGAGGTGTCTGTGTCTTTGTCTCTCTTTCTTCTACTACTTTTTGTCTTTTCCTTCACTGATGCCCCTGGGCAGCTTCACCTTATACTTCAGCCCTGATCCCACAACTCACTCTCCACTCCATCACTCCTTCTCAGGTGCAATAACTGGAAGTATAGGGGAGGAAAGAACTAACCTGCCCAGCAATTAGCAGCTATTCTATATGGGAAGCAAGCACTATGGGAGAAGCTGAAAAGATACTTATAAAGATAAGTGTCTGATGCAGCTAGGAGAGAAGGGAGATGATCTGCATAACATGGGCCCCAATTCTGCAGAACATTTTGGCTCCTTTCCCTAGGAAAAGTCCCATTTCTCCCTCCCACAAAGCAGTAGGAAGCTTAAAATTTTGTAGTTTGTAGCTCTGTTAGAAGTTGGACTTGGCTGTACATTGCTGTGGCAGCAGTGGAAGTGCCACACCTGCAAAAGAGGGGTCTCAGACCTGAAATGACAGGTGTGAGAGGATCTGGGGAGTTCTCCTGACTAGACTAGATTGTTATGCACTCAATGTTAATAAGTAACTAAGTAGAAAACCACAAGCCCGGAGGGGAGAGATAACTGAAGGATGGACAGATAAACTACTTGTCACTGGGGGAAAAGAAAAATTAGGATATTTTAAAGATCAAAGACAAAGTAGAATTCACAAAAAATAAGAAGAGCTTTAAAAGATCTTTTAAGCCACACAAGTTGCAGTAATGTCTGTTGGTTTTCTAGCTTGTTTTTGTTGCATTTTTCCTCCCTGAAGACCATTAACACATTAGAAAGTGTCTGTCTAGGCTTATGCAAAAAAACCCCATCCCTTTAACAATATAAATGGGTTCATATCTTACTAAATACATATAGCAAACATCACAAAACAGCCTGAATTTGAATATGAGCAAATACACAAGGTGGGATCCAATCACCTGTCCTTACAAACAAGCACAAAAGTTTTTGGTTCATTCCTACATTGATTCATTTTATTAGTCAAAGAACGCCAACCCTTTCGATGTTACACTACGTGGCAGTGCCTTACCAGTGTAGATGCTGGCATTGGAAGCTGGGATGCCAAACTGTGACTCGATGAACTTGGGAATGAAGGTAATAAAGGCTGTGACAATGGCACTCTCAGCTGTGTATGACAAACTCACAAAAAGGAATGTCATGTTGCTTAAGATCCTGACAGCTGCTCTTGGAAGCTCTATAAAATGACAAAAATGACAAATGAATGTTATAAATAATGAGCAAGAAACAAAGCAAACTGAAACAAAACAAACTGATTTTCTTTGAGAGGGGCTGACGATAATGGCTTGCTAGCATCTGGCTGCATTTGCTAAGCGGAAGGGAGAGTGCATATTTGGGACTGAAATCTTCGCTGTCTGCTCTTACCCTATCACACTGCATTGCCCACAAACACAACTGAGGCCTGCTTTAACAAAACCATCTAAAGAAACAGGATCTACAAAGTAACACTATAAATGAAAGAAAAACAGCAATAAAATGTAGTGATTTTGGAATTATTCTGACATATTGTTTTGAAATTCTCTATGGAGATAATGCATATCACTCTACTGAAGAGACAATACTGAGTTTTGCACTCCACAGGAGGAAAACAGATCACATACTCCCCCTGCTCTCTCTCCAAGGACCACACTTGGAAGCTGGGATAATAATACTATAATATGAAAAGGGAACTTAAAGATTTTTAGTTAAACATTTTTCTACATGATTTAAAAGTATTTACAATAGATGTAGACAAAGCATACTGTAAAAAGTGATGTCAGTGATATCAAGGAATCTCAACACACCTTACATACAACCCATTTCATATTCTCAGAAGGGATAAAACAATCAATTAAAAATGAGAGCACATCATTAACTTAAACTGAAAAAGTATTCACAGATGTTGTAGTTATCCTCAAATTAAATATAAAAACCCCATGAAATTCAGCACTGCAGTTAAAAGAAACACTTAAAACACTTAATTCAGTCCTGTAGTCATGTCAAATTATCATCACAACATGATGATAACTTTATTCAAGACTTTTTTTTTTCAGATTAGACGGTGTGATTTTCAACATTTTTTTTTCCCTTGGTGCTTCTACCAAGATCAGATTTTCTGTTCCACTATTATATCTAACCCACTATGGTTTGAGTTTTTTCATTTGCTTTCACTTTGTACAGAAATTGAACACTGTTTGAATCAAAGCTCATTGAATTCAACTACAAGAGCACCCATTAGAAATAAAACATGTAGAGTAAGAACTCCCGAATGAGAATTTTATGGATGTTAAAAGTTGTCAAATAAAAAAAAAAAAAATCTAGTCTCACTTTCTCCATTGACTCCAGTAGGTTATCTGTATAAAAGCAAACAGAATTCAGACTCTCGTCATGTCAAAACTTGTCAGGCTGCAAATTAGCACTTAAGTTGTCTGACCATATCCAGACTTAGCTTATGACAGTCGTCAAAATTTATACTGAATTCATTATGAGTAGAGGGTTTATAATTTTAATGTAGTCAAATGCTCTCTTGCTGCCTCTGTGAAGAAACATATTAAACGTTAAATACAAAATTTGGTGGAAATACGCCATGAATAAATCATATTAAGAAGTATTCATATATTCAAATCTTAATGTTTTTTTACCACCTACATTTTTTTTTAAAATGTGGCACTGTTTGCAATAGAAGAACAGAAACGAAACAAGATAACAGGAGCATGTGACCATATAATATCAACACAAATATACAGAAACTGTAACTCAACTGTACACCTTCAGAAACTACATTACAGTAGCAAGTATAAAAACAAAATATATCAGTACCTATTGGCAAATAGGTTGTAAGTTCAAAATACAGCTGATCAAAGTTTACCTCATTCAAAAGGAAACGAAAGAGAGAGAAAAAAAAATGAGAGCTATAATACCATCAGATGTCAGCCCTCAAACCTCATCAGCTTTGGCTTTGTGTCTATTTCTGGGTTGACTTGGGTTGAGTTAGCTGATGGGAGCTGACATGCAAAAAGAAACCAAAAGGCAAGAGCCAAGATGCCCTAACCCAGCTTTGGCAAAGCCTCTCAAGGGGCTAGATGAGGCAGTTTAAGAGAACAGCTGCCACAGGGCTGCAGTGGAGCAGCTGTAGCAGGATTTCCTGGGAACAAGGTGCAGGATTGAGTGCTTCTACCCCTGTAACAGGGTGCCAGGACTGGTCCCTGCTGGAAACTGAGCTATTTGGTGGCAGCTGCTCACCTGTGCTGAAAATATATGGAATAAAATAAGAAGACAGTAATTTTCAGAAGACTGGACATGACAGAGAGAAGTATAATTTTATTAGGATGATGAAATAAGTGTTCTTTGTAGAAATAAGTTAGAAGTCCTTGGCCAAGGGCTGAGTCCAAGATCTTCGCTAATCTATTATTTCAAGGGGTTTAGTCCAAATATCATAATACCTGGTAAATTTAGGTCTCTGTGGTAAAACTGAGCTTCAGGAAAATGTCTGGTTTAGAATTTTTGATCTAAAGATGCTGAAGAACTAATTTGGTAAAAAACTGCAGAGCTAATGAACACTTTGCTCTGGTGTTCAGATGCACAGCTGCACTATCTGTTGACTCCTACTTGCATCTCATCTGAGCACTCAGTCTAAAGGTCATTATTAATTTCAAAACTAATTAGTATTTTCAAATTGGATTTCTACTGATAAATAGATAAAACTCTGTGCCTTGGAATAAGCACAAGTTCTCTTACACCCATGTGAAGGATTCTTCAGGGAACAGCTCTGCTGATTACTGTAATTTTTGGCAGCAAATAAAACAGATATTATTACCACCTGGAGCAGCTGAGGGTTGAAGCACTTTGTGACTTATAAAGGGCAACTGTCTGGCATACAAGCAAAAGTTGCTACACAGTAAGAAATTTTCAAATAAAAATAGATATTTAGAGTTAGTTCTTCCCCGATTTCCTCCTAGGATTATAGTCAAATCCTGTGTGACAGAACGTGTATTGCACTTCTGAATTTAAAAACCTATAATAAAAAGGCATTATAAGTATCTCACATCTTTCTAATGTTAAAAACTTTAAGGATCCTTTGTACCACAAAATCAATCATGCATTTAAAACATTTCAATAACACATTATTTTTGTGTGACTAGCCATTGGCCTAGGCTTTGATTTCAAGGCCATCATTAAACCTGTCACCTGATTTTTAGGAGGTCTTCAAAAAACATCTCTTGATTTTGCAAGTGTGCATCAGAAACAAACCTGTAAGAACAAAACTTTAAGGATCCTTTGTACCACAAAATCAATCATGCATTTAAAACATTTCAATAACACATTATTTTTGTGTGACTAGCCATTGGCCTAGGCTTTGATTTCAAGGCCATCATTAAACCTGTCACCTGATTTTTAGGAGGTCTTCAAAAAACATCTCTTGATTTTGCAAGTGTGCATCAGAAACAAACCTGTAAGAACTTGTAGTTTCCCTCATCCTGTCATTCGAACAAATAAATCTAAAACTGAAATGACCTTTTAGTATGGCTGCAAACACATTTACTCTTCTGTATGGTAATTCAAATCTTAAACATCCTCATCTTCTTCCCTTTTTTTTTTTTCTTTTTTTTTTTTTAAATAACCTAGTATGTAAATAAGAGTAAACTGAAACCTGTCTTGATGGACCGGTTTGCTACTCTGTTGGCAATTTTCTTCCCTTCATGGTCTTTCACAGTATTTTTTATCACAGAGTCACAGAATATTAGGGATTGGAAGGGACCTCGAAAGATCATCTAGTCCAATCCACCTGCTGGAGCAGGAACACCTAAATGAGATCACACAGGAAGGTGTCCAGGTGGGTCTTGAATGTCTCCAGAGATGGAGACTCCACAACCTCTTATCTTGTCAGTATTCATTTTCTTTCACTAGTATGCTGGACCACTGCTTGATTCATGGTAAGGGAAAAGCATAAGAAAAATCTGCAAGCAATACAAATATTAATAACTACTGCTCTAAGCAATTCTCTTAAAGCATTATAAACAGAATTTCAGTAAAAACTCTAATAATTCTGACTTCACCTCCTTTTTCATAATTCAATATATTTTCTTTCATCCGTGTTCCTTTGCATCTAGCCCAAGGCTGTGAAATGAATACCAGGGGAATAAACCACCCCAGTCCACAGAACTGTCAAATTGCAGCCCGCCAATGAAGCCCCTTGTAAGGGTGAGACAGATATTAGCCAAAGAACCTCTTTTGTGCTGGTGCTGCAAGCCTGGACAGCACTACCCAAGTCTGCAGCTTTGAAGGAGGCTGCCTCCACACTGAGGTCTTGGGCAGCTTCTACTCTTGCACAGTACAAGGTAGAGCCAAGATTTGAGACAGAATTTCTGGTTTGTTTAACACCATGCATTTTTAGTCACACACAACTACTTCAAATATATTCTGCATGGAGCTAATCACAAAATTCTAGAATAATATTTTGCCATGTATTTCATTCCATCATCTACTCACATACCATACAAACAACCTTATTCAACTTGATTCCTCAAGCATTTTCAGTACGTGCCTCAATTACCTGGGTGGTGGCCAGACCATTGAACAGCCTCTAACATCCCATGAGGAGTAGGGAGGTTTGGAGCAAGTTTGATCTGATTATTACTTTTGCTAACTTGGTTTAGAGCAGCCCCTCGAGGCTCCAGCTAACACTGCTCATCACTGCACAGGGCCATGCCAACCTCTTCTATTTTGAGCTCTTCAAGATGGCCTGAGATAGGGTGAAGAGGGAGTGACTCGCTCAAGGTCAGTGGCACAGCAGGATCTCCAGCCCACGCTCTGCTGAAGTCCCTGACATTTACAGTGCTCACCAAGTGCCTCCGCACACAGCCCACTGTCTCCTCCTCCTCTTCCAATCCCTGCCAACTCATCTTCGGGTACTGCAAAAACTCCAGTTCAGATCCTGTGATGAAGGAACACTTCAGTGGATTTACCCTACAGCAACGAGCCTCTCAGCAGTTTTTTACCTTTGCTGATGCCCTGACAAGTGTTATTATCCTGCCTCAGTGCCTGGAAGGGACTGACTGGGAAAGGCATACGACATCTGGTAGACATGAAAAGGCAGATAGGAATACTCCACATTTAAGAAAGGGCTGTGCATAGGGACAAAACTCAAAATGTTAAAAAGAAAACCAAAGACTACAAAATACGTGTAATTCATTAATATCCTTCAGATTAGATCAGTACATTTTAGATAATATAGACATTGGTTTTCTTTACACCGCTCCTTTATCCAATTGCACAGTAAGTTTCATTATAGTGGCAAGTAAAAGGGCCTGCAGATACCATTTCCATAGACAAAACCCTAAGGGTATCCACGTAATAGGTGAAAACAGTTGTTTTGTCTGCTTAGGTTCATGATTTATCTGCATGTAGGGGATTGAACCGTGGCTTCTTCATTATAAATCTCCTCTAGCTCATGTTATCTACACTACTTCTATTTCTCCCAATAAACTGCATCCAACTTGCTTCCTCCTGTGACCTATTAAAAGTTTTATTTAATATTTTTGATACTTGCATCAGAAGTAATCTCTCTCTCACATTGTTTACTTGCAACATAAATAGGAAAAGACTGAATTCCAAGCCCTTGCATCTTGAAACATGAGAAAAAGCAAAGATACATTAGAATTTTTATCTGATCTCAGCTCTACCATGGGCCAAAATAAAGCTCAGGTCACTGAAGTTGGAGGTTTACAGCTGGAGCCAGTTTTGGTTTATTTATTCAGCCTATACTGGCAGCCACTGCAGGAGAAAGGACCCTAGCCCTCTCCCATCATGCCTTCTCAATGCCTTTTCATTAATCTAGAGAACTAACTTACATGAAATTGGGGCAAGTTACAGCAGAACAAGAATCATTTTGCCAGGCTTCCCAGGTAAGACAACAGCATATCAGAAGATGAAAACAAACAGCTTCTTCCCTGAGACTTTCCTTACCAAAGCTGCACAGACTTTACAGATTTAATGACACTGACCTCTGTCATGGCAGACTATGACAACACTGATATTTATTAGTACAGAACAGAAGACGTGACCTACTAAATCATCAGTCTCCCGGCTACTGCCTAAGTGGAGTTTCTGCCCATCGTACTATAAAAGGATGAAGCCCTGAAATTCAATGGGAGGTATAAATGTACATTGCATCTCAGAAGAAGCAATGCTAAATGACTTAGACACATGATCCTTTTTTCCTTCCCATTATAAATGAAATTACCTCAACTGAGAACCTTGAGGCATGATCACATTCCATAAAGCCCACTTAAACTTGAAAAATAATTAAATGATAGTGCACTCCTGCTGCAGGCCCTCTTTACTAGGGTAAATGACACCTAATGGGAAAGCTATTATCAGCTACTTTTCTTTGCGTTATCTCAACTCCTTTGGTATCATTTATAATCACTTATAATACAATGCTGCTTTTCGCTGTTCCACATGGTGAAGTTTCTCCTCTAGAGAAAATGAAGTTTTGTATATGAGAAGCTCTAATGTGGTGGCTCCACTGATATATTAATATAGGATTTGGTAGAAAGTATGGTACACATGTAGGCAGATATAGTTAAAAAAAAAAAATGCTAAAATGAGATATACAGTAGTTTTTATTTTTGTGAGAGAAAGTACTAGGAAATATTCTCCTAAGACTACACTTGTTTTCTGTGTATCTGTTATGCCTGTAGTGACATAAGATGACCTGGAAGGTGAAACAATGTACAGAAACAGAGAACCAGCATCAGAAAACTCATCCAGATGCAGAGTTTGTCTGAATACCTGTATCTTTTCCAGGCACACCTACAGGATGAAGCAGTCCCTCTGCTGTGACATTGCCTGCAATGATTAGGAAGGAGCCCAGCAAAGACTGAATTCCCCCTTCACACTTCCCTAAGTTAGTGAGAAAACCTTGACAGGAGTAGTCCTGAACTACTTTTGCTATTCAGAGGCCAGGAGACTTGAAGGCAAATAAAGAAAACAGCTAGTTTTATGGATTTAGGAGAAAACATTATGTACAGGTACTCACAAATACAGGGAATAGAGAGGATTCATTAGAAGGAAGTGGACAACATGCTTTTCTTGCTTCTCCACCACTCTTTTAGCTACATTGATAACAAAGGGAAAACACTGTTCTGAAATATCCGATATTACGGTTTTACCTTGCTTGCTCTGTGCCTTGATTAAGATGCTGGTTTTAAGCTAATAAAATCACCACAAGCAGATTCTGGTGTCCTGTTTTTTTTGTTTCCTTCCACAGAAATAGTACAGATGTAAATGCAATGTAAAGCAAATCAATATGCACATGGGCAAACATTATTTATTTAGAATTACACTTATTTTAGTCTAAAACCAGCACGTTACTTTTGCTAAGCCTTGCTTAAATATAAAGAGCGATCATAAATGTGTCATTAAAATATATGGCAATCATTATATCCTGGACTGAGATCCAATGCAAAAGCAAAACTAATTTTCACATCAACAAACTCTTATTTTGAGTTCAAGTTACATCTAATGGTATAAATGACATTTCATGGTTTCTCCTTGTCCCATTACATTCATCAGGCTACCACAAAATGGCACAGCCAGCATTCGTATCATGGAATCCAAGGAGGACACAACAGCATTGACAACACAGCAGCAATAAGACACATTCATTTTTGTCCTATACTATTCAATATTATGACACTGTTAAGCCTATATTGTCAACTCCAAATGTATACCCTTCCCATTAACTCATTTTTAACAATGCCCTTCTTCCCATGGCATTTTATCGATGATTACTACTTACTATTGGATTTAACATTAATGGTTTACTTCTTGAATTAAATAAAAATATCTATTACTTGTCAATCTTTCGATGTCTTCTTGCTTCAAAATGAGAACAGGTTTCATTTGTCCTAGCCTTCTGAAAATAAGCACCTTGTAGCACAAAAGAGCCAGGAAAGGAACATGAAACAAATAATCTTTATCAATTAACTTACCCAAATGCATGAATGTAACTGAACTGCCATACTAGAATTCTTTTTACTTGTTTCACTTATATTTTAGAAGAGTGCTTTATTCTGTGAAGGACAGCTTAAACCAAGTATGACAGTTACAAACTGTAAGGTGCACAAATATGTCTGGTAATAGAGGTCCTGTAACTATACGAAATAGGCTACCTGTTTGTTACAAATGCACATTAAACACTTCAATAATTTAAATAAATGGATGTCTAACACTGTATTTTGTAATTTTAGAGGACAGACATCTATTAAAATCTCAACAGCAAAACATAATATTAAATACAGGTTGTCAAAACTCAGCCTTCAATTGCATTCACATAACCCTAGCTGACCATGTATACAGAATTTAAAGCACTGAAAAATTAAAAATGAACTTCACCTTTAACATTCTTTCCAAATCCCATAGAAGCAGGAACTGCACTGTCTGCTTGTATTTTGCTATTTGTTTTCTCTTTCATGACTTCATCATCACTTGAAACATCATCAGAGTTCATCTTCTTTTTCTTTTTCTTTTTTTTATGTCGAGGAGGGAGCTTTTTCGGAAAGGTAAACATGGGAAATATCACAAGGAGCATTGCAATGGCACAAAGGAGAAATCCACTCCACCTAATGCCAGGAGACATGAAAAGAAATGAAAGCCAGTGCATTACATGAAATTAAAAAAAACAAAGTGATTATTATCGGCTGTACTGGTTGGAAAGACATTTGCAAAATATGGAACATTGACATTAAGAGTAAAGGATTGGAGTGGAAAAGAGCTTTCACTGCACTAAAACCCTTAATTAGAAGATGTTTCTGTTAGCTAGTCTACTGATAAAGGAATTTATCTAGAACCCACCAAATATTATGAAATAGTGTCAGCTTTGAATTCTTGTCAATTTCCACTTTTGGTAATTATTCAGTACAGAGTGCTGAGAAGTAGACACTCACTTTTACTTTGCCTTTCTCAGATGTCTCCCAGTAAAGCAATACAGTATTCCTTTGGAGAATATGAAAAAAAAGTTATCCATGGCATGAGAAGATAAAATGTCCAGATGGATACATCAGGGCTAAATCTGTTCTGCTTTCCAGTGCCTACCTCTCACTGCCCTGGCTGTCCAATTCTCTCCTTCCCCAACAAAGAGCTCCCAAAGCCTGGCTGTAAACCACTAATGTGTTGCAGTTCACGCCAGGGTTCATGCCTAAAACTCTGCAGCTCTGTTCTGTGCCCACAACCTGAAACAGCCCTTCACAAAGAATTCCCTCTTCCCTCCCTCCATCTTAAAAGAATGGATATAAACAACCCTGCAGTGATGCCTTGGCTCACACGGAATGACCTGAGACATACCCAGAGAAGGGGTAATGTGTGGAATGCCGGAAAAGTGCCCTTCAGACTGCAGGCGTACAATTATCCTCCCTGAGGCAGAGAAGCTTAATGAACTTTACCACAGCACCACAGATGGGCAAAAGGGCCTTACTAGAAAGTACTCTAGAGTTAACCTTCTGCAGTCAGAAGGATGATTACAATAGAGTATCAGATAACATAATTTCTCCTCCAAGTTCATCTTGTAATGAAAGACTCCAGTGAAACATGGATAAACTCACATAGATGCTTCCATAAAGAAGGACAACATCAGAATTCACCCACAGGGTTCTTCCCGTGTACTGAAAGTGTAATTCTCACTATATATTAATCTGTTTGTACTGGGTTTACATGGCAAGGTTTTGGTACTGGGGTGGGGGCTGCAGGGGTGCTTCTGTGAGAAGACACCATGAGCAGTCCCCATGTCAGACAGAGCCAGCTTCAGCCAGCTCCAAAACACATCCACCACTGCCCAAAGCTGAGCACATCAGTGATGCTGGTGGCACCTCTGCAATAACTTATGTATAAGAAAGGGTAAAAAACACTGCAGAGCAGCTGCGTGAGAGGAGTGAGAAAATGTGAGAGAAATACCCCTGCAGACACCAAGGTGAGAGGAGAAGGAGGTGGTGCTCCAGGTACCAGAGCAGAAAGTCCCCTGCAAAGCCAGGATAAGACCATGGTAACGCAGGTTGTCCCCCTGCAGCTATGGAGGGGCATGGTGGAGCAGATATCCACCCCATGGAGAGGCTGTGCTGCAGCAGGCTCCTGGTAGGCACTGCAGCCTGTGGAGAGGAGCCCACACATGAACAAGTTTTCTGCCAGGACTTGTGACCCATGAGGGACCCATGCTGGAGCAATCTGTTCCTGAAGGATTGCACCCTGTGGAAAGGACCCACACTGGAGCAGCTAATGAAAGACTATCTCCCATGGGAGGGACCCCACGCTGGAGCTGGGAAAGAGTTTTTTTGTGACAAGGAAGGAGCAGCAGAGATAAAAGTGTTACGAACTGACCACAACCCCCATTCTCCTGTGCCATGCAGGGGGAGGAAAGAGAAGAGTCATGAGTGAAGTTGAGCCTTGGAAGAAGGGAGGGGTGGGCAGAAAGTGTATAGTTTTATTTTTAATTCTTACTATCCTATTCTGCTACTAATTGGCAATATATTAAATTAATTTCCCTAAGTCAACTCTGTTTTGCCTATGATGGTAAGTGGTGAGTGTTCTCCCTGTCCCTATCTTGACCCATGAGCTTTTCATCATATTTTCCCCCCCTGTCCTGCTGAGGACAAGTAGTGAAAGAGCAGCTTCATGGGCACCTGGCAGCCAGCCACGGTCAACCCACCACACTAATCCACAGGAGTGTTTGGAAGTTTTGGTGAAGCCAATCGCATTACTGCAATATCAAACCATGACAGTGAAAAACTGAAGCTCTTTGCTTTCATATCACAGTTTACAGAACTGTGGTGGGTTGACCCTGGCTGGATGCCAGGTACCCACCCAAGCTGCTCTATCACTGCCCTCCTCAGCAGGCCAGGGAAGAGAAAAATAATGAAAGGCTCATGGGTCAAGATAAGGACAGGGAGAGATCATTCACCAATTACCATCATGGGCAAAACAGACTCGACTTGGGGAAATTAGTTTAATTTATTATCAATTGTATCAGAGAAAGGTAATGAGAAATAAAACCAAATCTTAAACCACCTTCTCCTCACCCCTCCCTTCTTCCCAGGCTTAATTGCCCCCACCCCCGCCCTGCTTCCCAGGCTTAACTTTATTCCTGAACTCTCTATCTCCTCCCCACAAGCAGCACAGGGGGACAGGGAATGGGAGTCATGGTCAATTCATCACATGTTATTTCTGACTCTCCTTCCTCCTCAGGGGGACCACTCCTCACACTCTTCCCCCACTTCAGTGTG